ACCAGATTCCAATGGAGGAGGAAGTCAGGAAGAAGCAGTGGAAATGGGTAGGACACCCAATGCAGAAGTCACCCAACCGAGTCATAGGACAAGCCCTCACTTTGGACCCTCAGGGTCAAAGAAAAAGGAGAAGGCCAAAAAACTTATTACGTCGAGAAATAGAGAAAGATATGAGAAGAATGTACGACATTTGGAAGGTTTCTGGAAAGGGAAGCCCTGGACAGAGTAGGCTGGAGAATATTGGTTGGCGGCTTATGCTCCTTTAAGGGTGACAGGCGTAAGTAAGTAAGAAAGTACTAAATGAAAAGCTCACTTATCCTCTAGTGTCCTTAGCAACTAGCATACCATAGAGATGCCCTCTCCTTTAATTATTATGCATCCCCTCTAACACACGTTGGTCACTGTGGCCTCAATAGACCTCAGTGATTTTGGTCTAAGAAATAAGCTTAGTAAATGTACATCCAAAAGAACTTATAGAATGCAAGCTAGATTGGTGAAGGAATTGTAGTGAATCCAATTTTATGAAGAGTACGTGATTGGTTTATTAGAACCATTCATTATTTGAACGAATTGTACCAGTGACTATTTTACTGAACCTCTTTGTTTATTACCACTCCGTACGCGCAAACTTTCAGTTTGTGTTGCTGCTATTTTGGCTCTACTACTCTCCGTACTTTCGCCCCTTTTTCCTGTCACGATTTCGGTATTCTTTCGATACAACGAAATCGCCAGCAAATTTATTCTTCCGTATGGACGGGGTCGTAACTGGTCTGTGTTAGTGATCTTAGTCAACAGTGACACGCTACAACTGATGAGCTTATATTTCGTCCAAAGACGTCAATTACGGTGTCTATTATCAATCTTTATTTTTATGATTGTATATTGTACTTGCAACCACGTCTCGAAGTGGTGGATAGCTATAATATAACAGACTCCGAGGCGCAGATGCTTGCAGTTCTATCTGTCTCCTTCCCGTCAGCCCAGGTTGCTCGTTTATTTTAAGTACACGATTTCCGCACTAACGCTAGGTACCTAGTAGAGACACAGGTGCCCAAATTTCTGTCGTATCGTCTGGTAGCAGCAAGTCTAAAGCTACAACTCTTCGACTACTCGCTGCAAATGCCTCTGTCATTCCAAGCTACGGTACACGAAATCTAACGATCGATCTGAATAATCGACAAGGGCGTCTGTAGGCGTTCATCCCTGCTGGTGTTACCATAGCCTTATTCGGCATCGATTCCTTACAGCTCAATGAATTGCTGCTTGATTCATGTGGGCTGCAGTTAGTCGATACTTCGTCCAATATCAAATCTATGGTTTTTAACGCACCAATAGGTGTGTGCGGAATCACAGATGTATTTTATTTCATGATTCTTTATTTCATGTCACATATGATACATTCCTCTAACTAACAAAACCGAGGAGATTATATCGATGAATATTTATGTGGTAACCTATATCGTCACTTGCAGCCCCCAGTCACAGCCAAACCTTGCGGACTCGCACTGCACAAATTAGTTTTCGTTACCCGTGAGTTAGACAGTTTACTTGTGACATGTATTGCTTCGTCTTTCTTACAGCCCTTGAACCTCCTGTCGCAAAAACAATGGCATTAGTTGGAGACCGTGAGGCGATTACAGTGCAGCAAAGGCAGATATTCAGTGTTCCGCCTGAGAACTTGTAAACGACACGACATTGCATCTGCCCGGGAAATATTTCAAGCCACGGAGCGTCGTTTTTATGTAAATCAGATATCGTCCAACGACTTTCTGCGTACATGCGAACACTGCCTCTAGTGTTAACTCGCTCTTCTTCGAGAATTATTTACTTGTCCAAAAGTTTCCATATGAGTAGCTTTGACACGCAAGCCTTTGCAAAATCCTTACGAAGGATCTTTCACGTCATCTCTCGTCACGAAAAGACCATTAGGGTTTTCGACACAGTCAGCATTGATCGTCTCAAACCAGCACACGTCAGTGACAGAGCCTTACCTGATAAATCGGGATTCAATTCTGGATACGTCCAACTCTCCAGCGGGATACCTGTTTATCCTTCAGATCCCACGCTAGATAAATCAGAGACCTCATTCTCAGGTTCCGGTCAACAACACGCGTCATCTGCACTGTCTACGGATAAGACTCTGGTCTCACGTCTAGATATGCAAACAACAACGCCCTTGATTTCGTATGAGTTTACAGTCTCACACGCTCATCCACGAGGTATGAGCGAGACCTCCGTCTCACGCTGTGGCCATCAGGTACTTCAGCCTGCACGCTTTCGCCTTTCAGTAAGTAACTTATAGAGTATAGGCTTCTGCCACTTACTACACTTGCTACACCTTTTTCTTTTTATTTAATTTTTGTATCCTGAGCTTACTCCTTCCACCATCACCCTTCTACTACCGTCAACTTCAGTCGATTTTAGGGAGAGCTGGCCTTAACACCGAAGCCCTTGTCGATTTACTCGGTCTCTACTCTGGTTTAGACTACGTCTAGCTTACGTACAATCCCAGACCTGGCTATTATTTTGGCTTATAATTTATCGGTTTAACATGGTTCCGTCTGAAGTCTTCAGTGATTTCTGGTCCGGCCTCCTACGAAAGCGATCTTTAGATTCCTGATACAAACCGCTGTGGTCTGGTATGCTAACTCCAGCAGCAAACGTGTCAAGTTAATCCTTGTTCCGTTCTCTGTATAAGACGTTCGGGGAAAACTCGAGTATCGTCGATCGCTTCTCGCTCCCGAACCCTTGCATTTTACTAATCGATCCCACGAATGAAGCCACTACATATCTAAAGTGTACGCCTTTTCTAGCGTCCGGCCACTGTAGTGACTCCAATTTCAGGACGAAAACGCGATTAGTTAAGTAGAAACATTCACTATTATAACCAGTTGTACAACTGGCTGTGTAGGATTTAATTTGTCCTACAGATGTAGTTCTGGAACGGTAAAAGCAATATTGGCGAGCACAGAGTCTATGGTAAAGCTACAGTTAGAAGGAGATCAACTTTGCTTTCCACTTTATCTTTTTCTAAACATAAAAACAACTAAATTAGTACGATAAATAAGGAAATGTCAATTATCAAGTTAGACGAGCAAACGTACCGACCAATATAGCGTGTCTTATGAAAATGAATAAAGTTATGAGTCACATCAATATAATAAGATAATAGTGTTCTTCAATTATTAGATCATTTACAACAAAGAAAGTTTACAGACATGTCAGATCATATCACGTGTTGGGCGCTTAAACCACAATTTGATTGGTTAGTTATGACAGCTACAATTCACCACGGGACAACGAGTTAAGACTAGACCGTAATTGGTTTGTAGTAGTGTTCATAGTCGACTCCAACTCAAAACAATACAAGGCGATGGTGGATTCTACGTAAATTTTAATAGAATAATCTGAGTTTTCGGATGTTGATGAGATTGCTGATTAAAGTAACATGGATAAGTCTACAAATAATGAGTTAGACCTAAATCCTACATAATTACTTCTGCCTCTAACGTTTTCAACAAACATCATAAAAGCACAGACATATAACTTTTGTTACATGCACTATAGGAATCATCGTCGCCATTAAATCTTTCAGCAAAAATAGTGAAAGTTGATAAAGGTGAGGGCAGGAAAGCTGAATAGATTTTGGGACTCAGTCATTCAGGCTGGGTCATAAGATTAACTTCTTTTATGCATATCTTGAATATACTATTCAATAACCAGTCCGAAAATATTCTTTTAAGCAATAACAATACCCAGGAACCATGTTTAGTTTACCAAGAGTGATAGAGATTCAAATTTCGGAAGGTATCATCTAAACATAAACTTTAGGCCGATAGAGCTCCTCCATAGAATAGCCTCAATTTATTGGGTGTTTGACTAAATTACACCTTTTCTAGAATTGCTTGCACAGCAGCTAGGATATAATGTAGTTTTTATCCTGAGGGCCGTTCACTCTGAAGATTTAGAGGATTCTAACATTTAACAGATGATTAATTATGGAATCCTACAGTTATAGCCAGTTAGACTTAGTGACTGACTTAAAAAGCTTATTAGAATGTTTTTTAAACTTCAACAAATCACACGTAACAGATTTTCTATAATTAAACTTTAACTAAATAGCAACCAACTTGAATCAAGTTATGAAGAATGTTGCCGAACCAAATAGGTTTTTCATCGTCTAGCAAAGCTTTCAAAGGCGAAATCTGTCCGTGAATGGCTGGCTTATATTCTAAATCTTAAACGTAGCCCGTACGAGTTAGCTTGCTCGTAGGAGCACATGACAGCATACGAGACCGAAATCAAAGAAAAACATTCCTATAAAATTCATGGAACATGATAGCCTTTGACGCTGCTCGTGCATGGTGGTTGTGTAACATCAAATGGAAAAAGCAGAAGTACTTCAGTAAACAAAGCAAAACAGAATAGTGCAACACCTAATTCTTATAAAATTTATCATCAGAGTCCGCGTTCTAATTTCCTCGCTGAATGAACCGTTGAAACCCGACTGTAGCTGCCACATTGACATGGTGACCAAGCTTACCTATCTTGATGACCAACCTGACTTAATTAGTCTCTAATATGTGCTCCTTTAGGTTCTACTACGCCAGGTAGGTCGACTGGGGAACAGTATGACTAGAAGCAACAACTTAATGTCTGGGCGAAGTAGTAGAGTTGAATGTAGAGGGCTATGGTCGCAGTCAGGGGTTTCCCTCGGATAAACAGCATCTGAAGCTTCGCTTCCTTCTCACATTGAAGGGAAGAAGTTAAAAATGGTTAACTCTAAAACTGTCACCCCTCACCTTACTTCACGAATCTTCGTCCCAGGGTGTTAGACCATTTTGAGAGAGGTGGAAACACGTTTAATACTGCATTTGAGTAGCATTGAACAATACTAAATATATAGCTTCATATTGGAATAAAAAGTGCAAAGAAACACTTGTTTTATACTAGCTCAGGACAAAAACATTGGATACTGAATTCGGTTTAAGTACATGCATCTTAACTTAATCATTGTTCGTCGATTTAAACTCAAGGTTTAGACTGCGATAGTAATTATTTGTCGTTGCCTGATGATTGGGAGTGGACTGTTTTTAACTTTTGTAACTCTGTTAGCTTGCTTGTTAGCTAAACAAACAGATGATCTTCGTGGATGCTTTTCTATTGTAAATCAAAATTTAACGTAATACTTTGTAGCTATCTGGTGTGGTAGATGATATTAATGCAGACATCCAAAGAATAACTGATTTTAACAACCTGAAAGTTTTGCCTCGTATTAAAAATATCTTGCAGAAAGATTTCTTTCATTACTTTGAGGTATCTAGTTTTTTTTATTCTTATTTTTTTGTCGAAAACTTTGATATGACCTATTAAGGCACTATTAACCTCGTACCGATAAACACTCTAACTGTATACTGTCATCATTACTGGCAAGACGCGAAATTCACTTGAGTACAATGAGACTTTATGGTTCGTGATGATTTGATATTTTTTCTTGCGGAATGCCAACAGTTGTAATTTACGCCTTACGTCATTGGTCTTTAAGGAATAAACATCATTGGAGCTTCTAAAATATCTTCACTTTAGTACTTCTCCAAAAAGAGGACTACTACATGAGACTGTCGTACTGTCGAAATTCTGTAATCCACTGTGTCTCATCAACCAGTTAATACAAAGTGGAACGACTGCAATGTTCAAAACAATGAGAAGTCGCCAACAAGATCGGAATATTTACAAAACAACTCGATGTATATTAGAATTAATAATCTCCGGAAATGTTTAAGGCTTAATTGATTGTTTAAAATCGGTATATGCGTAAATTGTTAATCTATTTTCAGTCAGGAGTCCAACATTTTTCTGCTCTTTTTGGTTTTATCAGTTGAGCAGAATCACTTGTATTCAGTATAAAATATCACCTAAAGTTGAGTACACGACCTTGTGCTTGAGTGCTGGGTTGAAATAATTTGTTCGAAAACAAGTTGGTCCAGTTTATTAGTGGAAACAGTATAATTAATACCTAGGTTATTCTACGTGTTAGCATCATAAAAGTAAGTATAAAATGAGTGGAATTGACCATCCTGTGATGTGTCGTTTAAATGGATATTTAACTTCAGGACCAGCCAGTGCATCCTAACTTACTCTCCACCTAGCTACATCCACAATCTAGATTTTGGTGATTAATTAATATGCGGAAGAAATATGTGGAGGTTTTACTCTGTTATTGTTGCTAGCTATGAATAATATGTTTCATCTACGTTTATTGTCTTAGGTAAATTTGGAACGCGGTTGCCCATTTTTCGAAGACGATAAACGATGCTCGTCATCAGCCTGTCGAGTTAAGGATTGCCCGGCAGAAGAAATACCTTTAGGACTACGTGAAGATTCTTTGGGGTCGTCAGTCCACCATAAAGTACGATTCATCCGTTTAAATTCACTTAGTAGTATTCAAAAGAGGCCAATATATATCCTGCAGAAGAGATCGATTGTGGGTTAGGGAAGCTAGATAGCTCCTTGAGGTAAGTCATTCTTTCCGTAGTTCTCTCTTTCACGGTTCTCATGATTTGTTACATATAATGGAGATAAAACTTATCATCTTATATGCGTTCACAAACGAATTGGTTAGAGTTATTAGATGACGTGCTGTGCATTCCTTGTTTCTCCCTGTTTAATGGTATGGTAAAGATTTCCGTTAGAGAGCCATAATAACCTTCACAGTGTTTGATCTGTTTCATTACTAATTTCCAAATCGGAGCTATACTTCTTAGTCCAAAGTCTAGATGCTTTACCACACACTACCAAGATTGCACGAGGTACCTACATTTCGTATCCCACTAAGTTTGGAATGCCTTGCAATCTCGTTTTCTATCCATTCGTTTACTACTGTTTTGCGCGATCTTTTGGTTTCGTAGTCTGAATCTGTCCGCTATTATTCAAGTATCGTTGTTGTTGAGTATCTAACCTTATGCTTGAAATAGTAAAATACTTCAGTACCCGATAGTCAGTCATACGTATGATATCAAAGAATATTTTATGAGAAAATTAAAGATATCTACTTTGGTTTTATTTAGAAATAAAATACGAAAATCTGGTTAGTCCAGCCCGTTCAAGTGCTGATAAGTTTCTGGACCAGCTACTAATTGTCATTCAACCCAGACGTAAAGAAGTACTTAAATCGGTACAAATCCATCAGTACTTTTTCTCATTTTGTTATTCAACGCTTCCTGCGGATGCGATTGTGAGATAATGCTATGAATGCCACAAATAAGTGTTTTTACACATTTAATTTCACCAGCGAATATAAGACTTTTTGTATTTTAAAGTAAACTATTAAATTTATTTTGAGTTCCCACTTCTATAAAATTTTTAGTCCAAGTTACATCCGTAGTTTAAGATAGTCATTCTCAAGAATGTGCAGTGTAAATTTCTTCTGAACAAATCCCAACCTAAGCTTATCATTTATGCGAAAACTACTTAGAAGGAAAGTGTTGTATCCAACGTGTCCTCGGTCACATACTGTGTTAATTTAAGTACGTGAATAGTCTTTATAGATGTTACGCACTACAATACTTAGAATTCTTTGAGACTTAGAAGTCTGTATTGGGGCCTATTCTGAGAAGGATAGATTGTTGTAGTACCCGAACCTTAGGTCCAACACTATATTAACCATTTATGGTGAAACAACTGAGCAGAAGTCCACTACTACTACTTCAGGTGGGATTTCAAATACAAACGTCAAGACAGCTTTATTTTATGGATTGGAAACTTGAAGAACTAAAGAAGCCATCATCCGAAAGTTATGGGAATTTATAAACAGCTGCTTACGCAAGATACTCCCCATCCATTGGCCAGACATCATCTGTAACAGCCCGTGTCAGAAAACAAACCAGCTTTCAGGTGAAGAAGAAATTAATCAAAAAACGCTGTCAGTGAATAGGGCATAAATTATAGGATTCATCTGGCTGCGTCACGATGCAAGCCCTAACTTGAAATCTCCGAAGCCAAAGGAAAATAGGCAAACCAAAGGACATATTGATCAGGGAGTCATATACAAACTTCAAAAGAACTCATTGGCATTTAAAAACTACTGGAAGGAGAGCCCAGGAAAAGGTTGGTTGGAGAATCCTGGACGGTGGCTTATGTTCCACATGGGGTAACAGGCGTGAGGACGTAGATCCACTTTAGTAATTTTATCTTGCTGTACTTATATAGTGTAGTATCGTGGGTCGATCCACTTTTTTGCGATATCCTACGCTGCTGATAACTAACTGATGGTGATGTATTGAATGTTCATCTTATCTTATCCCTTAAATCATGAATATTGTTTCATTAATTTTTTATAACAAATACTTCGAATCCTGACGTATAATGCCATACTGCCAATGGCTTGCCTCATGACTTGTTTTTGTTTTCGGTAACAAATAAAATTTTGGCATATTATACTTCATATTTTAGATATAAAGTAAGTCCAGTGATAGATCATTTTAATTTACCTGTTATCTCACGAACTAATATTTTTATTCCAATATATTTTAGTGAAGAACGTAAAACCATAATTGCCAATTGGACTCGTCATGACAATGAAGATGAACTGACATTTTGTGAACCTGATGGTAAGTCAGATGATATCTTGCATCTAATTTGAAGGACAGTTTGCACAATCTGAATTTTTTAATTTATGGGCTTGAATCTACGGGTTTAAGAATGAACTAAGGGTAACTAATGTTTCAGTTGAATTATTTAGTTTTACAATCAATAATTATACACTAGTCTAACGTACATTTATGGTTACATAAAATAAACAATGGTGAAACAATTCAATAATTGAAGAAATACAAATCTAGACTACTTATCCAAACGTTCTCTTAAGTTGTTGTCGATTATTCAACCATTAATTATGAATTTTATTATTCATTTATAGTGAACAGTTAATCCATCATTGTGTGTGTTAGTTATGTTTTATTCTTTCCACCTGTGTGTTACGTTAAGCTTGATCAGAAACTATCTTTTGATGCTTGCTGAAAGTAGTGTATATACTGGAGCTGAATCGATTTATACTCATTTATTCGTTATCAGTAGAATACTTTCTCGAATGATGATTGAAAAAGAGAATGCACGTTTTCTGTTTTTGAGAAAATTTGTTCAGATAAAGCATTTGCTACATTTTCCAACTGCCATTCGGCCATTTGGCATTAAATCAGCAGAAGAGTAATGAACATGTTTATAAATCACTAATCATATAAACGGTTAATATGATAGGTCCAAAGTCACTTTTTTATTTGAGCGTAAACGTGACTTCTTCAGGATACTGGTAAACTCAAAAATTCCAAGGCAGCTCTCAGCGACAAGTTCCAAGCCTTTCACAATCTACTCAGTGAAGAGGAAACCACCGTGGTGAACTGCTGGAAGCGGATGCAAAAAGCAATAGTTTCAACATATCCTGAGGTTCTGGGCTACATGAACCACCGTCGCAAGGAATGGATTTATGCTGATACTCTAGATAAGATTGAATAAAGGACGAACAAGAAGGTAGCAACCGATATCAGCCGTACAAGAGCAGTGAAAGCCAAGGCACGGATCGAATACACAGAAGCAAACAAGCAGGTGAAAGGGGGCATCAAAGCCAACGGTCGTATATATGTGGAGGATCTAGCTGGGACGGTGGAAAAGGATGCAAGAGAGAAAACATGAGACACTAGTACAATACAACAAAGAAGATCACTGGAAAATACAGTAAACCAGAACTACCAGTCAAGGACAAAGAAAGCAAACCACTCACCGACATTGACCAGCAGCGAAACAGGTGGGTAGAGCAGCTTGAAGAACTCAGGAATAAGTCAGCTACACTGAACCTACCCAACATAAAAGCCGCACCTACTAACCTATCGATTGATATTGACGCACCAACAGTTAAAGAAATCAGCTTGGTCATCAGACAAATCAAGAATGGCAAAGCAAAAAGACCAGAAAACATACTAGCTAATGCGATAGAAGCAGACAAAGCAATAACTACAAAGTTGTTGCACACTGTTCAGCAAGATCTGGGAGGAAAAACAAATACCAACAGCCTAAAAAGATCACCTCATCAAGATACCAAAAAATTGGGGTCTCAACAGGTGTGAGAACTACAGAGGCATCAATCTAGTCTCAATACCAGCAAAAAACTTAAACAGAGTGTTGTAAGACCGAATGAAAAATTCACTAGACTCCCAACTTCGAGATCAGCAGGCTGCATTCTGTAAAGTTCGATCGTGTGCCAACCGAATGGCACACGACTCTGCGGATCATTCTGAAACGATCAGTCGGATGCAAATCACAACTTTACATCAACTTCCTTGACTACGAGAAAGCGTTCGACGGTGTGGACGGGATGATACTATGGAGGCTTCTTTGAAACTGGTGTGCATAAGAAAATAGTTAACATCATACGGAATTATTATGATGTATTGAACTACAAGATCGTGCATGGAGGACAGCACAAAGACTCGTTCCAGGTGAAGATCGGTGTCAGGCAAGTTTGCTTACTCTCACGCTTTACCTTCCTACAAAGACGTCAGCATCTGAGAAGAAATTCGGAATACAGTTGACAGCGTGGATGAAGTTGGACGATTCGGACTTCGCGAATGATCTGGCTCTTCTATCGCACACGCAATAACAAATGCAGATGAAGACGGTCAGTGTATCAGCAGTAGTAGGTCTCAACCTACACAACGGAAAAAGCAAGATCCTCCGACACAACAAAACATGCACGAACTGAGTCACACTTGATGGAGAAGCTTTAGAGGATGTAGAAACATATATGTGCAGCATGATTGATGAGCAAGGTGGATTTGACTCGGATATGAAGGCGCAAATTGGCATAAAAATTTAAATATCTCAATCCTTAAAACGAATTTAAAAAAATGTTTGCTAGATTATAGAATTAGTAAAATAGTTCTGATTTCGACTTGGTGATTAGAAAGTAGACATCTTAGTCTTGTAATTTTTCGTTTATTTTTTGGTTGTAATGTATATGTACAATACACCTGCCTGTTTCTATTTTAGATGATAGTTCTGGCAAAATGATTTACGTGGATTTACTGAAGAATCCTGAATGTTATACTGGTTACAAAGGCCCTGCCTCAAATAGAATATGGTATATGGTCTATAATGAAAACTGTTTCAAGTATGTTTTAATCTTATAATATATTTTGACTTAAATTTCTACTTTAGTGAAGATTCGATAACTTATGGGACAAGCTATCTTGGTCCAAGTAAGTAAACTTGTTTTTTGTATTTGTCAATATCATGTCTTCAATTTGTCCACCAAGTTAAGTAACTTAATTTTGATATGAACTTTTTTTGAAATTTCTATATACATGAAAGATTATCTACTATCGTCTAATCAATGTCCTCTTTTTGTTGCAATACGATCCATATTTACTCAGCATGAAATAATTATTGCTTTCTACATAATAGTTTAATCAAAATGTATTTGTTTGTTAAGTTAATGTAAGTTCTGAATTGAATGTTTAAAGTGTTTGTCAGACTTACATGATAAACATAGATCTTGTTGTTAATAGAAATTCAGTCACTTGTAAAACTTGATTAGATGCATCGTCGATACGCGCTGTTAATGAGTCCCATACTAGGACGGAATAGCTATCCAATACTTCTAGGTTTCAAATGATGGCCTATCACGTGATCGCTTCATGATTTCTAGTATGGAAGAAAAATATCTAATAATCAGATTAATAAAAATGTTGTTAGGACAGTGAAAAAGATCTCAATTGTCTGAAAAATAGTTTATGTTCATCCACAACGTTACAGATGATTTTATCATGCACATATTTATGACAAGCAAAAAGGTCAGTACGCACTATGAACCGATAATAAAAGTTGATGAAAAGGTAGTCAATAAGGGATCCAGAACTTTTCTTCAATCGTCAGCAAGGTGTACCTGTAATCTTAAAGGAACTGATGCTCCTTGATGGATTCGATGTTATGTCACACAGCTTCACCATCAGAGATGCTAGCACTGAACAACTTGATCTATCAGCCCTAAGATGGTTTTAATATATACGACACTGCTTACTACTCAGTGATCAATCAATTCTAAATAAAAATATAATACTTATAATAATGACCTTGATTTACATAGATGGATTTGATATAATGTCAAACTATTCTTTCTACCCAATTTTTTTCCCATTCCGCAAAATTCACGTGTTCTAATCATACAATCACATGTTTTTCTATCAGAAATGGGTTAAATTATTTATTGTTTACTGTAATATAGAAGAGTTACCATTTCTACTGTATCAATTCATAAATTCTCTCCATTGATATTGTTTTAATAATAAAATTTTTATCACATTTTGAAAAATAGACTAACTGTTGAAAAAAGTGTTTATTTCTACTATCCTTTTTACATCTTCATTTATTTAGTATAATGTAAATTTCAAAGGAATATATTTTTCCTTTAAAAATTTCTGTACCCTATGAGTTGTTCATCTAATGATATTCATACAGTTTACGTTGACAATCCAATTACTTTAAGTTCTTGTGATTACTTTTACATCTCAAAGACAACAAAATGATGAAAATCAAGTAGCCAAAAGTAAAGAGGAGTAGTACAACAGTCACAACAAGGTGTAAAAGCGAAATACCATTGAAATTGACAAGTTGGTCACTTTTTCAACGAAAAATAATTTGTCGAAATTGTGTACATTAGTCGTTAAACCATTTTTAATTGATAGTCTACAACAACTTGTCTCTTTTCATCTTAGCTTATTGATCGACAAATACAGGTCTACTTAAAATATTTCAATGTATCTTACCACAAGGATTTGTTATTAGTAGTATGCTGATTAGATACAATTAGTTGCTATCTTTCCTTATCTTTAATAACTATTAGTTTATTTCTCAATGCTCTTTCTTTAGTTATAAAATGACACATTTTACCGGTGTGATTGTGTTATTGGCATTCAAGTAAATTAACATTAGCGTGTCATTATCTGATTGGTTTATCAATCTTGATCGATTTTCTAATCTTATCAACCGGATAATTTACAGTGCATCCACACAATAACACTGTAATATATTCTGTAGAATTTTCTCGTTGTTATTCATTGAAGTTCATTAATTATTTTGGTAAAAATTTTTTACCTTCCGTGAACATAATAAATTCCAAGAGACTTTAATTGCATAATAATCCATCATCTACGAGTGACTAAATTAGACGTGATATATTTAATGAAACCCTGATTTCAGAATGTAATTTGTTAGTTTAATATGGTCGTGGCTAATGATAAATTGTGACCACTGATAATGATCATATACCTATCAGTTTCTTAATAGTATAAGCGATATGAAAGATAAAATAATGTTACATACATAAATTTTTCGTTCAGGTTAGAGGACTGTAATGCCCATCATGATATAATTATCCTGTAATGTTGCATTGAAATGATTCTTTTTTAATTCATACCACTTCGTAACATTGGTTGGTATAATGTAATGGATTATTTAAGTTAATTCGTTTTTCTTTCATTGGATTTCTTTCATCTGTTTTTATTTATAAAAGGAATACAGTTACTCTGGTTAAATAATTTTTTTTTCCGGTATTACTACTATTACTACTTTTACAGCTTTCATTATTTCATTCGTTTTTCTTCCAATCGTTTAGATAATCAAAAAGCTTTGCCTACCATGTGTATTAATGATGGTATATATTTATGTATATTATATTATTTCTGGAAAATTAGTCTATCAGTGTATCCGACTTTTATCCTTTGCAGTAATTTGTTTGATTTTCTATGGATTTTGTGCGGAAATATTTGTTTTTTTTTAAAAATTAATTAAACAAATTTTAAACATTTTAATCGTTTCCTAATGTTTTATGTTGACCTTTTATTTCATTGTTCATGTTATATGTTTAAAATATCATTTTTATCATTTGGCCTTTTGTCTTGTTTCTTTGTTCGATTTTGGTGATTTCTTTCTTTTAGTGATTAATTTTTGTTGAATGTTGCTTTTTTAATAAAATGAATCACCTTCAAACTCATTCCCAATGTAGCTACTAGTTCAACAAGAGAAAGCAAATCAGTTTCATTTATATCCCTTTTAAATATGATTCTTAAATTTGAAGTATTTCTGCTCGAATTATTCCACTTATTTGAGATTACTTTCGGCATATAAGTAAAATATCTTTCATTAACTAAGATTATGAATCTATAAACAAAATTACTTTTAATCTATGTTACAGACATTGCTTTTTTTTCTCTTTTTAAATTTTACTGGGGTATACTTCTTGAATCATATATTCGAACCCTAATCTTTTCCGTTACCACTAATACTTCTACAACCTCTACTATCATGGGATTTGAACTGTTAATAGCATCTCTGTGCTAATGTGGTATAGCAACTTGAACTGATGTACGTACGTACGAATTCTACGTTGCAACTGACTGATTGACATCTAGGTTCCAAGGAATTTGTAAGACCCTGTTTGTGTTCCCCAGCTTGTTTTGATTAGTGTATGGCGAATGTGCTGTTTCTTGTGTTTTCTGGTCGCTAATAATTGTTGATGAATAAAATTTAAGTGGAATAGCAGGATTTTCGATGGCTTTCAGCGATATTTTCAAAAATAAAATAAAACAAGTCTTTAGTCGACAATTGAGAATATTTTGAAGAATGTATAATTGATGTTATCCGAATTCTGTAGAGTTTTTAGAATTTCAGTTTGTTTATTTACTGGACACACTTCATAAATCGTAGTATATGATACAAGATGTTGCAAGTGATAAATATTTATTTTATATTGACATATCCGGTTGTTAACAATTTTGGCGCCAACATAATTGCGTCATTCCTAAAAATGAAAATTTCTATATTTAGACGAAAAAATGCTTCTACCTGTATGTTTATTGGTCGAATCAGCAATGTCACAATCCTATAAAATCGTACAAAGGCTTATATATTGTTTTTTTCTATACGATTTTATATTCTAATTGGTTGCCTAAACTGAAGCAAGTAAATTTGTGATCTGTCAAATAAATCATTATCAACCAAAGTTAATATGTTCTAACTAAAGACTTTTGTGTTAATGTTTGTACTACGGATAATAATTAACAGTAGACAAAAATACCGTATATATGAATAAAGTTCAGAGATTAAATGTATTACACAGTCTCACAATTATAGTGTATTCTTATCTTCCCCTTAATTTCACACTGCTTGTTTTTCATAATCAAATTTTTACTAGTTTGAACACATGCACTTTTTTGCACCACTATTTTCTATAGGTAATGTCTGCTTATGTTGAGTTGAATCACTTATTTTCATTTATATTTCAGTCTTAGTTGTATAGAAATTGTAGAGTATTCATAAAATTCAAACTTCTTGAGTTCCTTATATTTTAAATCAGTCTTATGATTCCCTGAATAACAGTAGTTTTTTTGATATTTCCAGATATTAAACTATATCTTGAAACTATAAATGGACATTTCCATAATTCTCATCTGATTTACTGTTTTAGTTTTCAACAAATGAATAACAAACGTCATACTCCTTGCCGAATCTCAAATTATTGAATTCGATTTTAAATAAAATCATCAGTATACACTATTCAATACAGTCAAAATCTAAGATACAATTAGTTTTCAATCATTTTCCATCTCTTAAAAATAATAACTTGATTCTTATCAACTATTTTAAATATGGTACACTGGTAAAGGTATGGCATATTAATTGATTATGTACTTGTATTTTTTTATCTTCATTCTTACCAGGTCAATCTTCTTGTCTTGAGAAGCGCACATTTTACCGAATGGTATCTGGGCTACATAGTAGTATCAGTGTCCATTTAGCTTATCGATATCCGTTAAGTCGTAAGTTTCTAGTTTTACGAAACCTCTTTATTTATTTCCAGTATCTTAAACATAATTTCATCATATCAATTGATATCATAATTCATTCATCTCAATTTGTTTACAAACCAAATACCATGACCACACTATCAATTTTTATTAAAAACTAATAGATTCTTAAAAGCATCAGACAAATATTGATTCATAGAAAACCTACATCGGTAATTATTTATTCTTAATCGTAATCTAATCAATGAACGAGATGACCCAATGATCAACTTGCTCGGTTATCAATCAACACATAGGTTTAAACCTCACCTTACCTAGTTTGTTTTGTCTACCCAGATAATATCATTATCCTTCATTCAAACAACGTGACAAAAGTCGAGTACATAGGTGTTTATATTATGAAAGCGTCGTTATAAGAATTAATTCGTCAAACCACAGATAGACAGATACAACGCAGAACTTCGTGCATAAGTACATCAGTTCAGGTTGCCATACCACATCAGCACAGAGACGCAACTGTCAGTTCAAATCCAACAGTGATATAGCAATAATAGAAGTATTAGCAGTAATGGAGAAGATTAGGGAGCGAAGATATGATTCGAGAAGTATAATTCAGTAAGATAAATTTAGAAGGAGAAAGGTAGAGATTATGAGGAATGCAGAAGCTTAGAATTTCATAGAACACAAAGAGTGGATGCACCTGCGCCATCGCAAGCGATTCTGAGCCATGTCATTCAAGGTCTCTAACCATCGGTGACTATCGTCTCGCGGACCCCAACCAGATGGCCTACATCTACCAACATGACTCAGTCCACTTGTCAGTGACTTCATGCATTTGTGCCATGTTTTGGTTTGGCCGCCCCTAGATTTCTTCCAATCTACTCCTACACCACAAAACATAGCTCGTCGCGGCAGTCGGTGGTTAGCCATACGTAACACATGTCCCAACCACCTCAAATGATGAAGTTTCACTACTTCATCTATTGATTTGCCATCCTTACCTAGAACTCGTTTCCTAACGAAAGTATTGCTTACTCGGTTGTCCCATGATACACGAGCAATGCTTCGGAGACATCGATAATCAAATACTGGTAACCTACGGAAGTCCTCTACTCTCAACGGCCACGTCTCGCATCCGTACAGTAGGACGGAGCGAACTGCTGAATAGTACACTCATCCTTTGGTCAGCAAACGGATATCTCGCCTACGCCATAAGTGACGCAGGTTTGCAAAGGTCAATCGAGCCTTCTGTATCCGAGCTGAGATTTCGTCAGTCACCAGGCTATCAGCACTGATGGGACTCCCAAGATAAGTGAAGCGATCTACACGTTCGATTACTTCACTCCCTATCACTAGTTCATGTGCCGATGCAACCCCGTCTTGAAGCAACATTTTGCATTTCGAGGGGGAAAACCGCATCCCGTCAAACCACAGTGACCCTGTGGTTAGGGTGATAAAATGTCAGTTACTAAGTCAGGCTCAACCCTTATTCTGCCTATATCGTATCGCTAGCCGTCACAGTTAGAGTTTAGTTCGAAGACAAGTGCACCATTCTGTACTTGGTAAATAAGTTAGTAAAACTTGAATTCATCTAACCTTTATGTAAATAAAAAGCATTGACTTTACTTAGAATAGCCATCGTTTTTTGTTGTTTTTCTTCGTGTTTAGTTTTTTCACGGCATCGACCAGTATCTCGTGATTATGATGGTAACAATCCCGGTTGGGGTCCAAATTTAGAAGAATTTCGTCGTCGTTTCGATCCATCTATTGTACCAGATGGTTTAACACGATTGCGTAATCTTTACTTCACTTATTTGGTGGAATTACGTGCTTTAGCTAAAGCTGCTCCATATTTAATGAAACAAGCCTATTTCACAGGAGATGAGAAAATGGATAAGGAAACTAGATCTGTTGTTACAGATTTTCTACAAATAATTCAGTAAGCTTGATTTAATGCGTTCCTTGTTATCTATTCGCTTGATTTCATTATTAAAGTCAAATGCTGTTTTGAGTTCTTCTATCAAATTATCACAGTAACTAAATGTTTTTATTAGGTATGATTAACTTCTTATCCTTCAATAACATAACAAGTTCAGTATACCATCATACAATCTGTTAATTTGTAAATTTATCTATAGTTTTAAATAAAAAATTTTCGTGCTTTCCGTATCATTTGTTAACTCACGTTTAGGTAAATATTAATAATTAATAATAGCATGTACAAAATTCAGAGTTTAGTTATATACTGTAAACTATTCTTTCTTACTTCTATTGCTCTATAAGTTGGTATTATATGGACCACAATCATTTCCAAGACTTGGTAACGCTTTGAATTGACTAATTATCTCCCGAAAGAAAGCGTTAACGTTTCTTAATCAAGTGAACAATGACAGACTGTCGTAAATCGCGTGTTATCTTTAGCTAAACCTCCATTAAAAACTTAGACATACTGAACGGCCGTTTCATTTTAGTATGGGACTCTTCAGAAGTGCACATTCACAATTCCTCACTCAGGAATCAAACCCACGCCCTACTTCATATTATCTTGGAATTAGGGAGCCAAATGTACATTATAATTGTTTGTAAATAATTTAAATATTTGTATAACAATGTAAAACCAATCCTCTTTATATTTTCCTAATACAAGAAATGAAGGTAGTATTTTTGATGAAAATATTTTATTCACTGGAGATATTAATGAAGCTAATGTATTAAAAAAACAATTTCGTGAACATTTTCGCAATATTTCACGCATAATGGATTGTGTTGGCTGTGAGAAATGTAGATTATGGGGGAAATTACAAGTGAGTTATATAAAATTAATCGCAAAAAAAAAGACAATCGACGTTATGTGGTGTTATTTTTAATCTATCTTTTTATTTAATTTTAATACAAGGATCTTTAAAGAACACAAATCACCAATCATTCAAAAAAAAATTATAACCAAAATTTATTTATTCATTGAGATGTTTCATGTACTAATTTTTTCATACATAGTATATGCATAAATTATTAGTCAATGGTAGTTCTGCTGAGTTTTACAATTAGATTAATAATTCGAGTGATCTATTGTTATGAATTACTGTAGTTTGGAGTTAATTGATATGTTACAATAGCTAGTAAGTTATATGTCATGTTCTCAGGCTTGTTAGAACCAACTGTCAAGGTTTATCAGGAATGTATACTCTCCAGCTACTAATGTTTCTATAATGTTATTTATGAAATATTTATCTTTCTGCAAAAGGGATAAGTGAATATGTACTTATTTTCTGATATAGTATTTTTGTTGGTTATTCTTTCTCGAATGCCCTACTAAAACTGAGGGTAAGGAGACTCCGCTCTCCTCAAAATGATTTCATGTGGCTACTGATATATAGCCACTACCGGGATGTTTATACCCACTGCCCTCTCGCGATAGGAGTGTTAGTTACGAAATTTAGTGGACAAAAAGCAAATGTCCTGCGGTTAAACCAGGTTAATGGGTGCGGAGGACTCATCTAAGGAAGTTGAGAGACCGTAATTCCAGACCAATGGTGCACGTGACGTCCGGGATTCTGAGGGAAAAATAGCGTGTAAACTACGTCTTCCAACGTTTCTTCGCTGCGTTATAGATTAGACCTCTGGATCAAATGCTCGGGGAAAGGCTTTCTAATAGAGCCATCTGCTTCGGTCTGAGCACCCAGGTAGTATCCCAGCCCAGACAAATTTATTGCTTTGTGTGGTCCATAAATATTTTGGTGCTGTTTTGTACCACTGTTTATATGCTTAAATAAATCTGCGGATAATGAGTTTTTAAAGGCTATTGATTTAAAAACATTAAATATCTTGCAATAAAGCTTCATCCTACTAGGTTAGCATTGAATTCAATATTCAGCATTTTTTGTATCTACATCAGTTGACTGATTATTTAAACGGTTTACCTACATATATGTAAACTACTATACAATGAAGAGACACCTTTCTATGAATTTTAGTCATACTTCGATTATGATGGCCGTATTTCAGAGTTGTATTTTTTTTTAGGAACTTATTGCTATACTCATATCTTCCTAGACAAATTGTTTAATCGAGCCAATAAGTGTTCTTAACTTAAATCCATTTAAAACACTAGCTTTTCTATCTTGTTAAGTTAGATTATTGCTATACAACAGAGTTCATTCGGATGAGACTGATTAAAATTCGGTCAGGATTACCAACAACAGGATGATAATTTATCTGTTTACTAGTAATGTGGTGCGCGCTACTTATAAATAGTATATGACGCGAGTGTAAACGTAATGTCTGGCAGCAGAAGATGGGGGAAGATCAAGAAAGGAAGAGTGGGAACACAATGGAATTTGTATGAAACGCATGAATAGTGAAATGTCAGACAATCGATTGATGATTGATTGAAGATTCGCAAATTAACGGTTACGATATGGTTTTCCTATTTTACTTAGTAACTCTGTAATTTTCGTTAAATACAATTCGGTTGCCCTCACCTGTGTTCTCCTTCACTACAGTAATACTTAATTATTTTATTTCGTCCGTGATTGTTTATTCCATAGATTTTTTTCTTGACAGCTTAGTTTTCATTGTGTTTAATTTTTTTTACAAATTATTTTCAGACACAAGGAATGGGTACTGCTTTGAAAATTTTATTTTCTGAAAATGTTCGAAAAGAGAATCCTCTAGATCAATCATCTACTGTTGAACCAAATTTTCAACTAAGAAGAACTGAAATAATTTCATTATTTAATGCATTCGGTCGGTAAGTGCATAATGTTTTATAGTATGGTAAATTAACAACAATTTACACTTTACTCATTTACTTTTCACAAATTTCAAATTTTTTGTGTTTACTTTCCTATCATTTGTAAATTTGAAGCTATATAAATATTTTCATGGAGTTCAGTGCTTTTAATTAGTTTGAAGAATAATGAGGGCAAAATATTTCACATTTCAGAAGAAAAAAGAGTTTCAAATTCATCATTCTATTTCACAATCCTATTTATCCAACTGAACCCAGTATAAAATTATAAATCGTAATATGATCTATAAAGAAAAACTGTTAGCATATTTTAGTACGTGTAATTGAAATCAATGTTTGTGGAAGGCTAAAAAACAATTAAAAAAAAAGAAGATACAAACATATTGCTTTAAACAATGACAGTTGTGATTCCAGAATATTTTGAAGGTTAAAAATGAAATCGTAAAGAAAAGAGGCTGAAGTTACAAGTACTAATTCTTGTAAATAAGAATTAAGATGAAAGAAAAGTGATTGATTCTTTACACAGGTCCGATAATTAAAATAAAAATCGATACGATGAACGACAGTCAGCGGAATTACAGAATTACATTTATTCTTCTGTATGTATGGGTCATGCTGAAAGTCCCTGAATGGTTAAGCATTGTAAATTGACATTTGTTGTTTATGAGTAACCATAAGCACATAATCACTTTTACGTGAATTATCCGATTGAGTGTGTTTGTCTGTCTAGTGATGATTTCATTTATGAATGTTTTATTGCCCTTCAGATATATATTTTAAAAAATGTTCACAAAACCCTGTAGATACCGTCCTTTCACCAGTAGTTTCTATATATGCTTGCTATTAAAAGTACATCCTTATTGAACAATAGAACAGATTATGATCACAGAGGCGTATTAATTCCAATATTCATTTATTTAAAATACCATATAATACTAGATATTCAAATCGATTGAGCTATAAAGGGAAATAAAGCTCTTTTTTCAGTTATATACAATATTCTACTTTCAGTATAATTACTTTGGATAATTTTTACATCTTAGTCATCACCAGTTCTATGTTTGTAGCTTCTTTGTTTAATTTCATTCGTATTAGTGCTTGAACTTTTAAAGGAGGATATCTGCTAGAAAAAACAAGTTTTTGTTTGAACTTTGCATAACAATTTCATATTGATGAAATTATTTCATGATTTTTAATTAAAATCAGAACTAATGATGAAGTCATTGTTGGGGATGTTAGATCCCCAAAACTTGCTTGTTAAATGCCGTATTTCGGATTTCACGTTTGCGAGCATGAGCTGATCAGTTGACCTTGGGATTCCATTTCCCACCAGGAAAATCTATGGCTGTGATTGGCTGCTGTGTATTTTAGTGTGCTATTTTCGTAACTGTCCCAAGGACGTTTCTGTGATGTATAAATAAACGAGAGTTGTGTGCTTGATTGTATTGTGATTGCTGGGTTTTTGTAGAATATACTTTCTACGCTTACAAAGCTTTTCGTCTTCAGCTTGGGATTCAAGTTAGCCTATCTGGACGCTGGTAATTGTCTCGTTCGCGTTTATCGACTAAGGTGAACTCGTAATAGCTTCAAGCGTACCTAGTAACGACCATATCAGTCATATCGTTGTTACTTGATGATTATATATTGTTAGTATTTACTGAATGATGAAAATTTGATGTTATCGAAATACCGCGGAAATGTTTCAATTGTAGGATAACTAATAAAAAGTAAATCTAAATTAATTAATACTCGTTTTTATTTTTGTGTGTCATTCTGTTTTCTCTCTCTTTTTGTCTCTTATAGTCTGTCTACAAGTATTGGTGCACTAGATGATTTTTGTGAAATGATTCGAAAGTCGGAAAAACAAGCACAATATAAAACATCCGGATAAATTTGTTACTCAATAATTTATTTGCTTTTCTTAATTTCTCTCTATACATTCTTCTACCATGGTACCAACGCTGCTGCTGTCAAAGAAGCTACAACTATCAACACATACTAATGTTTCTTACGTGTGGTCTTTCAAATTCATATTATTCGAATCTGTTGAAAAAAAAACACTGTAATATATAACTGTTACATCGTGTGTGTGTGTTTATGTGCGCATGTATGTATGTATGTGCAGATGTTGTACACAATTTTTGTGGAAATGACCTGCACTGTTGTGTATTATTGTAAATTATTGTGTATATTTTATGTTTGTTTTTTTTTCATTGTTGATGATTTTATTTTCTTTAATGACACAATAATCTAATGATTGATTTCAGTATAATAAGTTGATTAATTTCATTATTCATCGAATCTTAATCATTTTCTATCATTTCTACTGAAAGCAAATTGGACAATTCGTAATAATAATAATAATAATCTGGTCAATGCATTAATTGTTTCTTCTTTAACTCCCTGATCCATTGATCTTTTTCTATTAGTTTTTTCGATCGTTACATTGTACTATCTTTTTGTTCATCTCATATCATATAAATAATTCATCACTTCATTCATAAATACAATTTTTTTCTTTTCCTTCCCAACCGCCCTACTCAAATATGTGTTGATTGTGTTTTTTGTTTTTACTACTTTGTAACATTCTCGCCTTCTTAAATTGCTCATCATTTTCTGAATAAATAAATACTAGCGACATTGTCCATGTATGAAAATCTCCAGTTTTTATTGTACTTCTCTTAGACATATACAAAAAACTTAAGTGAATCAATATATATATATATATATATATATATATATATATATATATATGGGATCACGAATGATTTGCCATAATGAGGATAATTTTTTGCGATGATGGAGAAAATTTGTAGCTCAGGAGGATGATTGTGGTGGAGTTCCATTCTCTGAACTGGATATTTTTAGATTGATATTGTTAGTTAACAACTAAATATAGAATACTTGGGCAACACAACTACTACTATAAGATATTTCTTATCAAATTATTTCAAATTCATTGTCTCTTTCTTGTGCATTAACTTTAATACCTGCTAAGAAAATCTGCTTTCTTAATCAAATTTCTCTGTACTTCTCTCTGACAAGTTTTAACGAATACGAAACATAAGTTCAAGGATTTTTGTAGATAACCAACAAACAAAGTTTACAACCGTACTGAAACTGGTAAATCCATGACTCAGTCATACTCAACATAGAAACTGGCTAAAGCTAAAGAAACAATAAATTTATAGAGTAGAAAATGTATAAGATAATTTTGAGAGCCAAGATATGATGCAAGGAAAAGTGTGAAAACACTTGCGAACTAGTGGCTAATTCTGAATAGTGTCACTCATCTTCAACTATTAGTTTAAATAATCGTGCGGACCCCAACTACCTAGCCTGAACTTACCAAAACTGTCACTTACTTCATGGACTAAAGTTGTGTTTTGGTTTGTCCGCCATTACCAGTCAACTAATTCATTCTCTATCATTAGTTCAGTCAATGATGTATATCAGTTCTGATGCAACATTTTCAGCTGAACGTAAATCATGGATTTTGTTTTTTGCGTACCCGTTTCATTGTTAGGTTTCATATATGGTCCTTAAGAAACGCCTAATGAAATAATTTTGTCACAACAACGTTGGTATATATATATATATATATATATATATATATATATTCACAAAAATGAGATAAACCTGTTGGTTTGACAATATGCACGGTCAATTGATTACCTTGTATCATATGACTTTAAAGATTAGTGTATTATTATGTTAAACATTTTTGGTCACTGATAAATTTGAAAATATTCAAATTTGGCATTGAACGTAAGCTTTGAATTTTGTCAAGATGGTGAACGTTCTTCGATGTACTTTTCTGAAGAACGGTATAAATGTCTTGGTCGGTGAATAAAAAACACCTTATGAAACACTGATTGACGTGTCACGAAACTCACTGAAACAAAGCATCTTCATAGATTAGAAACTACTTTATACTGAAGAAAACAATCAGAATTATTTTGTGTAGATAAACTGCAAATGTGAATAGTTTTTCCTGAATTGAATAATGTATGCCTCATGTCATACTGTGGAGACGGCGTGGGAGACGGTCGCCGGGCGGCTGATAATGGAGTTCGACAGCCCAGCGGACAGGTAGGAGGCGCCGCAGAGGTTCCGGTTGGCGCGGCTGTCGGCCGATGGTGACCTGTTGGTGCTTGCTGTGGAGCTCACCGGATTGCGCCGTGAGGAGTGGGCGGGGCACAGTCTTTGGCGTCGCAATTTATCGAGTGTGTGCCTGCCGCCGTGTTCCAGCATCGGGAACTTGTAAACGCTACACGTTGGATAGATGCCGTATCCATTCCAGACCAGTGATCAAGAACGATGACCGAAGTGGTAATCTGGCATATTGTAGCGTGTCATGGAATACGGAAGGTGATATTAACTGACCAGGGGCTCTGTTTTGAAGGACTACGACGACAGCTTATTAAAAGGGGGACGAGTGTGGTGCTGTGGTGCGAACTACTTATAAGTAGTATATGACGTGAGTGTTAACGTAAAGTCTGGTAGCATAATATGGGGGAAGATCAAGAAATGAAGAGTTAGAAAACAATGGAATTTGTATGAAACGCATGAATAGTGACAATGGAGTGATGTTTTGCAACAGGAACAGTCCAGTTCCATAGGATGAACTGATCTTTTGCAAATGAACGATTTACGATATGGTTTTCCGATTTTACTGAGTAACTCTGTAATTTTCGCTAAATACAATTCGGTTGCCCCCACCTGTGTTCTCATTCACTACAATACTACCCAATGTCCATCATTGTGCTAGCCAAGTAAAAGTATATTATTATTGAGTGAGTATTCATCGGATTCTATTTTAGGAAGAAATGCTATGAATTGGTTGATTAGTCGACTTTTACCATGTCGGTTGGTGTCAGTATATGATTTCTTGGTAATTAACAGGTTTATGGAAAAAAAGTCCCTGTAGAAAGTAAACCCCAATGATGCTTGATAAGTTTTAGCTTATAAAGAATATTAAATCGTATGCTGATGTTAATTGCGATTGCTCTTCTTCATGTTTAACTGAATTCAAAAGAAAAATTGTCAACAAGTGCAATTTATTTAATGCAGAGTAATTTGATCTTACACATATGTAAGAAATGTTAAACTAACAAATGTGTAATTAAATCATCTTCAAATTTAAATCAATTGTTTTGTTGCTAGTAATTTAAGATTCATCATTGTTTAAGAATTCAGTAACTCTTTTTTTAAAAAAATACACTTTAAAACTAGAATACAATTTGTATGTTTAGTTGAATGCCAAAAATGTTACAAAACTTATTGCGAATCGCTAACACATTCAGTGTTTTTTTTTTCAACATTCATTATTAGAACGTTCTGTTTACTTAAATATTAAAAATAAGTCTTATTTTCTAAGTATAGAAAGTCTGTACACAGCCATCTAAATCAAATATAACCTAACACTTCGTGATTAGTTAGCTATGTGTACTTGAAATTTCAGCTAGAAATGACGACCGGTAAAGTCAAACAAATTAGTCAATGATACTGGATGTGGATCGTGCTATGCCATAAAATGATTGGGATTTGAAAATAGTAGGTAATTGTATTCCCCTGTTACTACTTTGTTTATACCAAGTCCACTATGAGATCTTCACGTAGTTCTACGTTTGCTCCCGTATAGTTCATATAATTGAGAACTATTAAAGATTACAAAATAATTTTCCAATGCTCTCTTGTTATATTTAGTGTTCATCCAGCTAGAATTAGTATAAATTGCATAAAATTGATTTTATTTGAATGTGAATTAATGATAAACTTCATATTTTACATCAGCATAATTGCTACTAAATGAGGTAGGTATATTGGCAAATAAAAATTTCCGATATATATATATATATATATATATATATATATATATATATATATATATATATATAATAGATTATATCACTGGTCAATGTAGATTAAAATAGCTATCAACAACTTGTTAAAGATCAATAAGACCACTCTAATTAAAGTGCATCATTCTGAAATAAAATGTAAATAAATAAAACATTTTGGTGTTTCGATTTTTTAACACTCATTCAAGTGTAAATCTAACAACAGTTTTATAACTCAGAACTTGAGTAATTTCAATGTTAATTTCATGCACAAATTGGCCAGCAGATATAATTATTCTACACTATCTTAGCATAAGTGTTATTTTTTTATTTAACAAAACTCAGTTCAACAATTATTCATATGGGTGTTTCCAAAAGTGGAAAATTCAGATTGACACAAAACAAAAGAGCTAGTGGGAAAATGTGTCAATTACTCATCACCTTTCCCATGTCATACGAAGATAAAAAATCTCACTGGTTAATGGCATTCTATAAATTAGTTAAAAAATATTAAGATAAGAAGATTTAAACAGTGTCAATACATATTAATAAAGGTGACAGATAGTAAAGCAGAGTGTAAAAGGGCGCGGTTGGAAAGAGTACAGATCAATAGGGTTGACCATCACAAAAAAAAATATGAACATTAAAAAAAAAAAAACATTTTCAGGGTGTGAAATCTATTCAACTGACCCTCTGTCAACTTAACTCTGTGGCCAATTAAAACAGTTTTCTAAACATTCAATGGTGTGTATATATTCAACAAATATTGTTAATTTACAAGTCCATTATTGTTATTTTTATTGCCTGGATCATATCATGTATAACTATTTCAAGAAGCTAAGGGATAATCTTTTGCGAGTGATATTTGTGTAATCGATTTTCAACAAAATAAGAGTTTACTAGATAATTTTAAATGACCGAAAATGTTAAGATATTAGTCTTGATTTGGATTAAATAATCGTCATGACTATGTGACTGTACATAAAATAATATTTTTATCTGTTTGTTTTTAATCAAAATAATTGATTAGAGTTTAAAATGTAACTACTGTAGATAAAGTTGACTAATTACATCTTAAGTTATACTTTTCACATCTCATTGAAATGGAAGTGGAATATTTAAACAGCCACAACGGCAAAGATGTCTTATTAATGAATAGATGCACCTTCAGTAGGAATTAAAAACAAGAATATTTGGAAATGTATGGAATATCGTAAGGCGAAGTATAGGTCGTACTGTCAAACAATGTATGAATTTATTACAAAACAGGCAACGGAACACAATCATGATCCATAAAACTAAAGTAATCAACAAAATAGAAGATCTAGTTACTTCCTCAAACGATGCAACACGTTAAATAGCACAAACCGTGTTTACTAGTTTTTGTATGCATCATCATTCCAATCTCCAGCTGTTAAACTAATAAGACAAATAATTCGGTTCATCTGACATGACAATCAGGCGATCTCATCAAATTGAGGATCACTGAATTTACGAAATATACACCCTGAATATAAGACAACTGTGCAGGTGTGTAGTTTCCCGCTTCATGAAAGTGAATAACATGTAAAAAGAAGTTCGGTGTTGTCAGAAGCTGGCAGTCTAGATTTTTTAAAGTGTAGTGTGCGGAACATTCTAAATATATTGCGCATAGTGGGCTTCTACATACAAAACTCAGGTTCGAAATAATAAACTGTTAACGTCTCTGCAGCAAAATTATCTATACGATAGTTTAGCAGTGTGGTTAGCAATAATTAAATGAAATAAGTCAAATAAATTTCATTTGTTTGTTTAATCAATAATAAATAAAAACCATTGTCATTCGACTCTTCTTACC